CATCCTAGTTTAAACTTAACTATAATGATTCTTTTTATGTGTAATTTGGTAATAAATAGTGTTTGCATTGCAATTATTGGTTGGAGTTTATTTAGTTTGAACTAATTAAATTACTTAACCAATTTGATTTCATATATATGTTAGTTGAGTTGTTCATCATGTTCTTGATTGAATATGTCTCCAATTATACTTTTCCTTTTGAAATGGCATTGGCAGCTGGGGCAATAGTAGCTATTCTGACAAACCCATGCAGGTGAAAAGAGTACCTAGCTATAGCTATACCGAGAGAAAATGTAATACACAGATGCACACTTTCTTCTTTTTCATTTTTTACTTTCCTCTTTTGGTCCTTTTTCATTTCACCTCTAGCTGTGAAGATGCCACTATGATGTGAACTTGTGTATACTGCCTAACTTAATTTCTTGGTGCTACCTGTTGTGTATTTCTATAACAGGAATATGGAATACTTTTCCACTGGTACCAGCATTATTGCATATGAAAAACAGCAAGAAGAGGGTGGGAGTTAGAAGCCACAGGGAGCAGAATTATTCTTCAAGAAAGGAGAGAGAGATTTAGGATTCGGTTTGTTAAAAACAAGGGGTAAAAGAAAAGGTTGTTCCCCCAATGTTGCTTTAGTTGGACATCTCTCACCCTTTTCTTTAATGGTCTATATATATTATTTATTTCATGATATTTTTTGTCACATTGTACTTTGTGTGTTGCTTAAGCATATAGATTTTACCTCTTCTCTTGTTCTCTTTTCTTTCAAAAGTCACATACAAGAAGACACAATAAGAGAATAAGAGGTGACACATGTCAAAGTAAGAGGTGGGCCTCGTGCGTTGAGCCCCAATAGTTGCACCTTTGTGTTGGCCCTAAAGATTAACCTACTTGACATCTAATTAAACTGTTCCCCTCAATGACCTACACGGCCTTTTTTCCATACCAAATTGGTTTCCACCATCGGATTTTATGAAACCCGATAAAGGTCACTTGTTTAACTCTCTTTCTCTCCCTTTGTGCACTTTATTTTACAACCATATTGGCAGTGACTCTTATGACTATCACCAAATACAAGCATTCCATTCTTCGGCTCTGTTTGTTTCCTCAATTCTATGTATCTTGTGGGAAAGTATTTGATTACTCCCATGTTAGCTTGTCTCTGCCTGAGTTCTCTCAATGAACTAATCGTTTTAAAAGAAAAAAAATTGTATTTTCGTGTGGGGGAAATATGGAGTGATTTTATGGAGATTGGTGGAGTTCATGTCAACATTTTATTGGTGGTTCAGCTAACTGATGGGGACTGCAATTCCCACTACATCACGTTGCAAATAAGTAACTCAAATATACGAAAAATATTTTAGAACTGTTAGATTTTTTTATTTATCTCACCAACAATTTAAGTTTTTGGATTAATTTGATTCTTTACAAAAACCATCTTGGAGTACCAATATTAGTTCACAAAAAATCACCCATTTTATGAATTATAATAAGGGTAATAGTTTTCTCATGGAGTAGGAAATAATTATTATCTCTTACAGATTCATTTGTAGGTGAGGTTCACTTTCATAGAGAGAGAAAAAAATAAAGTAGGATCTATCTTGAATTTATGTGTGTATGAGATAAATTCTTTCTTATGTATCATAAAAGGGTTTGTTTTTTCCGATGTTACTTTAGATAACTTTATCTAATGTTCATCAAAGCGACGTCGTTTTGGGACGGAAATCATGGTATTTTTGTAAATTTAATTTATTTCAGGGTTATAATAGTCTTTATCTCTCTAATTTTTTAATTTTTCAACCCCAAAACAACGTCGTTTAGATGAACATTAGATAAAGTTACGTAAAGTAACATCGGAAACTTTTTTCCCATCATAAAAATAATAAATCCCTTGTAATATAGACACTTTCCTTTTGTTTTGTCCATTTAAAAATAAAAATAAGTGCCACTTTTATATATTTTTTTATATCTTCACCCAATAAATGTAGTTCATTTGGCAACATAGCTTAATAAAATGAGGAGAACTTGAATTCGATTTCTACTTGAGAAGTGTAACGTCAGGCTGCTTCATGAATCGATTACTATCCCCACATACTAACATGAGACTTTTCAATGTGTTTTTTCCTCACTCGCACACTTCTGGGGAAAACTTCTCAGGAGGTCACCCATCCCAGAATTGCTCCAAGTCAAGCACGCTTAACTATGGAGCTCTTCTGTTCTGGGCTACCGAAAAGTAGATGCATTTTGTTAGTATAGGTAGTACCAATTAATCCTTATAAGCTATCCCAAACTGTGCAGTCTCATACTTGCACGATCTTTGGAATCCCTCTCTTTCGGGTGTCGATTCGATTCATTCATGCATGTAACCCCGCTGGAAGCCTGTCAGGAGTCGCTCCTTGCTCGTGCCTCTTTGCACCGGCGATCACTCCCCGCCTTCGTCAACGCTCGGGATGTTAGATGCCCACTAGCTTCTGCCTGGTTTGTCCTCGAACCACACCGTACTGGAAAAAGGCCATGTTCTGATACCACTTGTAACGCCAGGCTGCTTCAAGAATCAATGACTATCCCCACATACTAACATGAGACTTTTCAGTGTGTTTTTTCTCACTCGCACACTTCTTCGGAAAACTTCCCAGGAGGTCACTCATCCCAGAATTGCTTCAAGTCAAGCACGATTAACTATGGAGTTCTTCTGTTCTGGGCTACCGAAAAGTAGATGCATCTTGTTAGTATATGTAGTACCAATTAATTCTTATAAGCTATCCTAAACTGTGCAGTCTCATACCTGCATAATCTTTGGAATCCCTCTCTTTCGAGTGTCCATTCGATTCATTCATGCATGTAACCCCCTGCTGAAAGTCTGTCAGGAGCCACTCTATGCCCGTGTCTCTTTGCACCGGCGATCACTCCCCGCCCTCGTCAGCGCTCGGGATGTTACAAGAAGGGGTTGATGAAGTTCGATCTAGAATTAATCTCATAATCAATTTGTCTCAAAGATATAATTTGGATCAATATACTAAAAAATTAATATGTTTTATTTTAAATAATTGAGTTTACGAGAAGGCTGCTGAAAAATAGCCAAGAGTATCATTTTCCTGACAAAAATTAAATTTAATTACACACAAAAACCAATGACAAATCGCACCTGGAAACATTAGAAGGGAGAGAAAATCCTCAAGTGTTATGCTTTTTACTTTGAATGACAAAGACTCATCCATCCAGCAGGGGAGTTCATTTTTTGCGGTCCCGGCCTTGGTGGGACTTGTCTAAAAATGAAAACAAAAAAGGACTAGAAAAGAATTCAAACAAAAGATAAGGGTATAAATAAAAGAGAAATTTTCTTTTTTTGGTGAAGGAGTATCCAATAAAACATGCATGGGTGCATGTTAAAAAAAATCCCCATTGGGGGTATCAGAGATTTGTGTCGGACTCAGGCTAAAAAAATAAAACCGTCGACGATCTTAACCATAAAAAATTATTGATGTTTGCATTCATCATGCAACATGATCAGAATTTTTTTTTTACACACACAATATTTTATGAGACCCGTATTTTTTGAAGAAAAAAAAAAAAAAATTACGGCATGCAAAACGAATCTCTATAACATAACACAATCAATTTTCTTACAATATAACTTTTATAAAACCATCTATTTATATGATAAAATATTATAGTCTACCTAATTCAATGAATATAAACCCTTGGATTCGAAACTGCACCCCAGGCAGCGTATTTTTACAACCAGGTTAAGTCAAGGTTCACTTAATTAGTTGGAAGCTAAAGCTCAAGCGACTAAGCTATCTTGATTATCAATTCACGTTATATGTGTTTAACTAAATATTCAATTTTTATTGCATGACACTTATTATCCCTTTACGGATAAAGGATGACCCGTCATGGGTCTTATATTATCCCTTGAGCCGACTCTGATATGAATATTCAACTGATTTAAAGTGACTAAGATATACTCACTTATTGATGGAAATGCATCAAATTATACTCAAAAGGATGTGTGCTTTTCTGTATTATCGATAGGGTCCTTATTTTTGGAATAAATTTTGAATATTATGTAATACATACTTCTCTATTAAAATTTGAAATAAATAAACTCATGTATCATTAAAAACAAAAACAGTGAATGAAATAGATATAACTGATGAGTATTTATTTCAATTTTAACAATTGTGCTCACTGCTCAGTACCACACACTGCAAATTTTATCCTTAATTTTTGGCAGTTTAGGGGGTGATTATCCTATTTTTTTTATAGAGAAATATATATTTTCTGTCTGTGTTTTGAAAGAATTTTTTGAGTAAAAAAATATATTTGCAATTTATGTTTATTTCCATTAATAGAGAATATATATTTAATAAATAATGTGTGCTTAAACTGAGAAATAAACTAATTTAATCAAATATTATTTCTAATTCTAACCATGTCTATTCCAAAATTAAAAACGTTTTCATACACACTCTTAAAACTTCCCATTCAATTCTCTTTCGGCTTTTTCTTAGGATCCTCTATCCTTTATCCAATGGCGGATGCTTTGCATATGCTTTCTGTAATGGTTGGCTTCTTTTTCTATCTTCTCTTTTCTTATGAAAAAAAAAGTCATAGCTATTATACATAATTGTAGTGAGTGAATGGATCAAGTAAAAATATGACCGTTATTTCATTAACATTGATCATAGCCAAAGTAAAATATGAAACGTACAAAATGATGTAGCTGACTTGAATAGGTGGTGAAAGAACCATGGTTCGATCCCTATCAATACCACCTTTGAAAAGGGGCATAAAATCTTAATCCATGACTCACCCCAAACTCGAGATTGTTCTCATAACGGATTCAAAGAGCCAAAGCTTGTGGGGATACCGAAAATCTTACTCGCCTCAAAGAGTTAATTAGGGTTGATACAAAAAAAAGAAGTAAAATATGACACATTATTCATCAATTGAACTTGTAAACATACTGTGAAGAGTATAATCAATGTTCCACAGACACCCGAATCTACTTGCAAAAAATTGATTCAATGAAAACTGAATAAACTCAGTCAATGGTTTACATGAATGAATAGTATAACTTATGGCAATAAACTGGTTCCAAACTTCCAATATTAGAGCATGCTTTTCCTGGCAATGACTTTTTCTTTTTGAGATCCCAACGACACATTTGCAATATAAGATGTTAAACAACCATCTTACTTAAGAGCAGATGAAAATTATGAAAAGAATAACGATACTTCCACGGGTCTATCACTTGAAAACCAAATTATGGCAGGTTTTGTCACAAGGGTAAGGGCAACCAATAGCCTGGACACCAACTCGGTCAAAAAACCAGTTCCCAACAGACTCTGCGATTCCCTGCTTGTATTTTTAGACAACCATTACAATGGTGAGATGGAATCCTATAACTAGAAGCAAAATATAAGTTAAAATGAAACAGAAACGTTATACAATGAAACTTTTCCCTTAATGAATGGGATTAAGACTTGAAGAAGGCAACATTTCCTCCTGAACCTTTTCCTTTAAATTGTTAAGCCATTATGTAGTGAGGCATATAACTCATGCTCCAATGAACCAACTCTAGTGTAAGTCTTCCACCAAATTGATAAAAGCAACATCATGAGTTATTTATAACGAATGAGTTAGAATAGACGTACTCTATTTCCAATATGAGGAGAATCCTGAGAAAACCATGTATCCTGTCTTTCAGCTTGGCAATGAGCAAAACATGAATTTATGAATAACCCGTTTTTTCGAGACCTTAAGAAACCTCTTACAACTCCGAGCATCTGATTTCGAAAACCTACTTCATTCAAGGATATTCCCACTCATTAGTAACCACGTTGAGAACAACTGACATCATGAAACACTCTTGAAACTTCTAATTAATTACCTTGCAGATACTGTATCTGTGGTGCACTGCAACGTGCATAATTCTTTCTGCATTCAATCCAATTCCAATGATAGTCAGCAGATGGCGGAGCTAGGCTGGCTTGAATCTGAAGGCAGAAGCAATCATCTACATATTAGTTTTTCAACCCAGGAATCTGATGCAAGTCCATGACACATGACAACAACAATGGTCAACAACACTCGTCATGAGACTATATGCTCCAGTTAGGGATGTGCGTGGGTCGAACCGAACTAAAGTTTTTAAAAACCAAACCGAATTGGTTTAAATGGTTCGGTTCGGTTCAAAATTAATTCGGTTCGGAAGTGATTCGGTTCAGTTCTGGTCGACCTATTTTAAAAAGAAAAAAATAAAATAATTTAAAAATAAAGTTATAAAAATCAATTTGGTCCGGTTCAAAAACGGTTCGAGTCGGTTCAAAACTGGTACTATTCTTAAACTGGTTCTAAAAACCGGTTCGGTTCATGAACTGGTTCTTTACGATTCGTCATGAACTGGTTTATGGTTCGGTTTAGTTTTTTGGTTATTTTGCACACCCCTACCTCCAGTGTCATCACCAAACAGTACTTTCCCGACCCGAGTGATAAGGAATTGGCTGATGAGAGCTTGCTACCAAATAAACATGAATTTTTTCATGGGATAAATTGCATAATGTGAAAGACGTAAGATGAAGATTATTAACTTAAAGGAACATTAGCTTGTTTTTCTTTTAAATGGATCTAGAACAATTTCACCTTTTTGACTCTCTCTCTCTCTCTCTCTCTCTCTCTCTAACACAGGTGAAAATAGCAGAATTCATTAATTTTAAAAAGATTATGGACTTTCATTTCGTGTTGAACCAACTGTAAGGGAAATAGTGGTAGGAATTTACCTGCCAAGTATCATAAGCTGCATTGAGAAGAAACAGTGGTGTCCTAACACTGGCAATTGAGTGCTGAGGGAAAAAGCACTGAGAATAGAATACCAAAAAAAAAAAAAAAGGAAAAAGGAAAAGGATGAGATGCCTCTACATTGAAAAACTAGTACCAATAATAATATTAGCATTCCACGCACGCATTATGCCTATTCGCACAAGATGTATCTCATCTCAAGTGAAAAATGTAGAATTTGACTATACTAGTTGAGTAATTTTATAATCTTGAATGACAGGAATAGTAATTACCAAAATTGGGTTGAGGCGACTTGTACAACTCCTTGGAAGGTTCTTTTGCACTCCCTGCCATGCAAAGATACATCTATTCACTTTTTCCAGTTATACATATATGTCTTGCTAATATTCAAGCATTCAGAAGAAGTTACAGAAAACACCCAACCATGAAATTTAAATAAATTTCCACAATATGATGATTGAGTGAAACCTACCAATATAGCTATCCAATTACAAGACATACATCTTTACTGTTTATTTCCCTATTTCGGAGGAGTAGAGCTAAAGGTTTGAATCGATCAGTCAATATGAATCCACTTTAAAAAACTATTTAGAATTTGAAAGACTTTAAAGACTTTTTTTACAATCAAGATTTCATAAGATTGGATTTTAAGGGCTCGTTTGGTGGACAGGATAGGATATGGGCTGATAAGCCGATATTAGGGATGTCCAAAACGAGCCAACCCGTCGGGTTGGCTCATAACCCGTCAAAAATGAGCCGGGTTGGGTTGGCAAAAACGACTACCAACCCGATCGGAGCCAGCTCGGAAAAAAACGAGACAACCCGCAGGTCAAACGAGCCAGCTCGCGGGTTGAGTTTTTGTTTTTATTATAATAAAAAATACAAAATATAATATACAAAAATGGACAAAACTCACACATGTTGTCATCGTCTTTCTTCCTTCTCTAAACCTAAGTCCCTAATCTTCTCACATCCCTCCCATTTTTTTATTGTTAGGCTGTGTTGGCTATATTTGGTTCAAATATCTTACCCACTTGGTAGCAAGTGGTTCTGATTGTTTCTTGATGTTGGTGTAAATTTGTTGTGAAAAAAATTAGAAACTAGAATATTTTGCTTTTATTTCTCATTTTGTAACCCTTTGTTTAAGCTGATGGACGCCACATAGTTGGTGCATTAATACTACAGATTCATTTAAATAGGCTGAAAAAGAGCCAACCCGCGAGAAATTTTCAAGCCAACTCGCGAGTTAATTTTTCAAGCCAACCCACGAGCCATAATTTTTAGCCAACCCGCGAGCCAATACTAACCCGACTCGGTCGGTTTAGGTTTTCTGGCTCGTTTTTTTTTTCGAGCCAACCCTAACCCGGCTAGTTTTTTTCGGGTTGCATGCGGGTTGGGCCGGGTTGGCCCGTTTTGCCAACCCTAGCCGATATCATGCCCTGTGTTTGATGAGCACCTGATTAACAATCTGATAAGATTATGTAAAAAGAGAAAGGAGAAAGAAAAAACAAAATATAATGCAATAAATACAAATATATTGGGTAGCGTGGGGATATATTGGGTATCCAATATTGATATCCTATCCTGTTGAATCCTATCACAGCTCCCCCATAGGATAAGAAATCATGTATTGGATAGGATAAAATGAGACAATATGATAAGCTAATCATATCCTATTGACCCACCAAACAAGAGATAAAAGTAGGATATGATAAGTTATCGTATCCTATCTTCTTTATCAGGTGCTCCAAACAGGCCCTAAAGGATTTTAATAGAATTTATTTGAAAGGACAATATGGATTTATAAGATTTTAAAAAACCATATGAATTTTTAACAAACGTTCAAAATTACAAGAGTTAATAAAAAAATAACAAAGAAAAGCAATGATATTAATAAATAAAAAAATCGAATGTTCCCAATAATTGATGAGAGTTTTCTAACCATATATCATTCATATGCATGTTTTCATTGAGTATTCTAAGAAAATTTCGAATCTGAATTTTTGAGTTTTATAACATGAAAGTTTAGAAAAAAATTCAAATTATTTTCAATCGATATATTGAAACTTTAAATTGTTTTGGGGCTTTTGAAAAACAAGTTTTTAGTTATCTTTTGACACAAAATTGTTTGAATTTGTTTCCTATAGCGAAAGAATTTCGTTCATGAATGTATTGTTACGAAATATAGAGTTTATATTATGAAAGTTTCAATCTTTCTTTAAATTGATCTTGTTTCATTGATGTAAAATGAAAATTGGTTTGAGGGTTTTAGTTCCTCTGTTGTTTTCCTACTGTTTTATGTTGTTTTTAATACAAAAATCATACCTTTTTGTGCAAAGAAAAAATCACGACCCATAACTTGAAAAATTATTTTTTAAACTTCCAAAAGTTCTCAAAAATATGTTGTTTTTGAGATGGATTATTTTAGAATCTGGTTGGTTTGTTGTTTCTGGGTTGTTTTGTGACGAAAATCACTCAAAAATCTGCTATTTTTGAGCTTTGATGAAGCTCCTATGGCGGAACTCGGTTTCGAGCTGGTCAACCCGCCAAAGGAAGAAGAAGACACTGCAATAGAGAATTCTCAAGAAATCCTAGGGGTTAAGGTGAGATTGTGAGAGAGACATCCTATTTATATTTCTCACTAAAAAGTCTCACGAAATCCATACTAATAGAAAATCCATTAAAATGTCAGATTTTTGAATACCAAAAGATTGTTTTTCCTTTGTTTAAAATCCTGATTGAATAACAACGGATTTGGACAGACTCTAAAATAATCTTTTAAAATTTTAATCGAATACCATGTGACTTTTTTTCAATCCTTTAAAATCCTAATTGAATACCAATGAATTTTTTTTGTCCAAAAATAATCCATTAAAATCCTTTGAAATCCCAATTCAATACACCCCCCTAAGATTTATGATTTAGTAGGGATTTTTGTATATGCTGCAAATTTTGTATTTGTTTCACTTATTATTATCATAAATCAAAATTATTATTCTGGTGTATTTAGGGAATCAAAGATGTGTTTTCCAACATACATGTAATTTGAAACAGGCTCCTAATCACCATTATACTCTGTACATTTTGTGGTTCAGGCCTGAGGCAAATGATTGTTTGAGCCTAATTCATGACATTTTGTTTTCTGCATTTATGCTTGATGGTTCACCATATTTTACTGTATTTATTATGAAATAGAAACAGAAGACAGAAACAAGAAATTTTGAAATGAGAAAATACCTGTAAGGTGACCACACTGCTGAACATATTCCTTAAACTGCGACGGCCGGATACATCAATACTGCAATAATGCAATCCCAGACAATATTTTGTCACTAAGAGTATATGCACTAATCAGAACTAAGATCTATGAGCAAATCCAATGGATAATAGATTTTGAAAGTTCATGTTATGATGTTTACGCATCAAGGAATAATCCAGCATCACTTAAGCACTTTACTCTTGTGGTTCTAGGAAACAATTCCCGAAATTCATCACAATGTAGTATCGCAGCTAAACCTCCTGCAGAACATCCAGATAGAAGAGCCTATAAAAGAAAACATAAATGATATCAAACAGAATTCAGGTAGCCATTTTTTTTTTTCCTGAAATTATCAGAGGTAAACCTGTTTGGCATAGCGCATCCCTTTTGACATTAAATCTTCCATAGCAGCTTGCCAGATACGTTGCCCTCTAAAATATAACCCTGCTGCCTGTGGAGCAAGATGAATTCAGTATTAATTTAACCATACTCACCATCAACCCAATCCAACAATGCTAACAGATAAAACTTATAGATAAACACTTGAATGAAGTAGCCTTGATTTGATAAAGTTTAAATTAACATCAAACAAACTGATACAAGGATTGAAAAAAGAATTAAGTTGAATAAATATATTGAAAAACAGGTTAAAATTATGAGGGGGTAAAAAAAGAATAGCATACCATAAGGGATAACTAGTAAAATAAATATCATAAAAGAAAAGGAAAATGAAAGGATGTTAATGTTGAAAAAGAGCTTGCATCCTCTCTTACCTTATTTTGACTGTCCCCACTAAATGATGCACCATCACAATAACGAATTTTTATTCGATTCCAATTGAAGAAATCTGAAAATATGATCATCCAAAAGAAAGGTGAAGTCAATTTCTATTAAAAAATGAAAAATAAGTACACACACACAGGTGTACACACATGTCCTAGGTGTATATGTGCTTAACGGAAAAATATAGTAATGCAGTTGAGTCTGAGTTATAACCTGGGTTTTCCGCAGCTTTGTTGCTCAATATCCCAATAAATGGTATTTGTTTTTCCATAAATATGGATGAACCATGACGTGTTTTCTTACCGTAAGCACAATTTCCAATAGTTCCACACCAGCCTCCTCCCTGTCACCAAAAGGTTTGCTGAAGTTATTATGGCCAAACAAATCTACAGGATGTTCAGAGAAAGTAGGAAATTCAATGTCTATGGCTATAATCTCCTCTTTTTCGCATTTTGGAAGTGTTTCTGATGCTGCGTGCCCATGCAATCAATAGGAAATGTTATCAACCTTTTGCTCAGGCTCAACATTGAAAACAAACCAAAATTTGAAGCAGCACATTAAATGCTACGGCTACTATTACCAAAGTTTTGTTTCTAACAGCAAGCAGCAAGAAGCTTCTTCCTCTGACTAAGATTATAAAAATTCCAGGACATGACTAAGGATAGAGCATAAGAATGAAGCCCATAAAGATACAGAATAAAAGGTATCAGCAGCAAAATCTCTCATGCCTGTCATGAGATTAGGTCTCACGTCCAAATCATCTTATGTGACTCCAATAATAGTCCCCCCATATGAAAAATTATAATTGATTCTCATCGTAGCATAATGCTAAATCCTGTAATCCACATGCCATATGATAGAGTCTTACCGATTCTATAATAGATTATATTAAGAAGAAGAACTTGTTAAAATTTCGCATTCTAACTAAAAACTGTGCTAGGAAGAATGCCATAATCATATCTAATACATAATTTACCACCAGTTGCATTATCCAACAAGATTTAGAAAGGTAATGTGTATGGCCTGTGCATTGATTTCCAGGTGAATTATCAACAGGTGCATAATTTGCTTCAATGAAAGGGTATAGGAAGGATAGAACAAATAAGTTGCTTGTCATAAAATCACACATCATTAAGGATCTTGACATCTCCATACACTGACTCTCTCACTTGGTTGTATATTTAACAGAGCCAGCCATATTGTTTCAGACTTTTCCAACCTACATTCGCGAGGAGGGAAGGGGAATATTTAATGCAACTTTTCATTGACTTGAACCTAATCAGTATAATGGTCCATCATATCATCCTACCGGCTAGTTATTTAATTGAGTTGCACCCAACACAGAACTGGAGAAACCAAGAAATAATGCAGTCCATGAATTTCATTCATTATAACTTCATATCTGCTCTCCATATCTCTTGCCTCAGGGCATCTCTGGAGCTTTCATGGGATATATCTATGCAAATTCATCTATCTTGATAATATTAAAAATATGACCAGATTAATCTCGTATAAATAGAAGAAATGGCTATATGTTTTCCCCGGGTGACAAATAAGGTAAAGAAAGCTTCCTTGTGAAGATCAATGCCAGAAAGTTGTCGACAAAATCAAATCTGAATTCCGGAAGTATGCTTGATAAAATTGAAAGCCATGCACTGAAAAGCATTAAGAGTTAAGTGTGCCTAGGTATCAATTTCAGATTGCATTAGCATAGTCATTCTAGTCAATCAATCATGCAACCAACTCTCCCAAAAGCTTAAGCCGATAATAGGAGGCACATGAATGGTTTTATTATATCTCTTAACACAATTTCACCACTCATCACAGCAATTTTATCAGAAAGCAAGAAACAGATAAGAATGGTTGTAGTTTGTAATAATAAAACAGCCACTGTGTCCTGCCTTAGGTGAACTTTGTTCAAAGTTCAGGTGTCTCACATAGTGACATACCTCCAATTGTATGAGCCAACTGTTTGATCCCGAACCATATCCACGGTGGAAGTGATAACCTGGTAAAGATCCATCCAGGCAGACTGCACAAAAGAACACAAATCATGATATATGATAATGAGCAATTATCTGATAACTTTGGATGTATTTTACAGCTGTCATCTACATAATGATTCTAAATTTCAAAAGGGACCATATTAAAGTCAGCCATGTAATCTAGAAAAGTTTGATTAGATATAATATTTCCAGATCTCAACTTAAGCCAGTGTTCTAGAAATGGGGAATATATTTCTTCATCATTCTTAATGGTTATTTCAACGGAGTAAGCACGATGTCATAAATTAATATCCACAAAGCACAGGTAATTTTAATGTCTTGAAAATAAACATCATATGTCCAAATGAACAAAACAGCTATTGATGACCCCACTTATTTGATCAATCAAATTATAAAAGTGGCATTAGAATCAGAAATTTTACATGCTATAGAGCAAAACATAGTATATGACTTTAAACCAATTCCATAAGCAAGGATACATTAATGCAAAGAAAGCAGGCACATGGGAAGAAGGAATACCAGCTCCTTTGGCAGCAGCACCATTAATAAGAGTAAGACCAACCATCAAAGGTTTGTTATTGTAGAAACCTCTTCCCCAAACATATTGCATGTCTGTCACATTAGCATTCTCGAAGCATTGTACACATTTCACAATCACCAACCCCATAAACCCAAACACCCACAGCAGCTTCATGCCTCCGCAACTCTTGCTTGTTTAAAAAAAGATAATGGCAACTAAAAGTGGCGCTTTCCCAAAAAATCTTTAACTTGAAAACTAAGAAAAGAAAGAGTTGAAGAGAGTGGAGTTGGAGGGAAAGAAGAGAAAAACAATGTGATTGGAGAACAAGTATATTAATTTGGAGAAAAAATCCAATTTTTCCCCCCCAAGCCTGTGGAATTGGTAAAGCTCAACTACAATAATGGCAATAATAAATAAGCAAGTTTTACACTTGGTGATAAATTGTGATTCAAACTAGCATTAATGATATAGAATGGAGACCGAAGAAACAGAAAAGGGGAGACCGAAGAAACAGAAAAGGAAGAGACTTGTTTGAGGACACACATAATAAATGCATGGAAGGATATGAATGGAGGAATCAAAATTTATGATATAGAATGTGAATGGCAAGTATAAGTAATAATAATAACAATGTGGGAAAAAGACCACCGACATCAACGTGAGACAGTGAAGCAAGGGCAGAGCTGTACCTCACTCTCAGGGGCAGGGCCCTGTGCTGTGCAAAATCCAAAGTGTGACCCTACTACTGTACCCATCACCTTAGATTGTAATCTTGTTCCTTGTATCTTGCTTGCTAATGATGTCATATTAAAAGGGGTTACTGTTTTTAAATAAAATTATTTTTTATAGATATATAAAAGTGTGTGGAATATATATAAACAAGAATCCCACACACATTTATATATATTTTACTCCTAATTTATAAATATTCTGCTGAAGAAATTTGAGTATTAATTAAGTAATAAAAAAATTACTCTAAATGAATAATTAATATGAATTCAATTTATGAAAATTTAGAAGACCGGAAAAAATTGATTATGTCAGAAGAGAAATATATATATTTAAGAATGATGATAAGTATATATATTTTTTTAAGAGATTAAATTGCATCTTAGTTTACACTAATAAAAAAAACAAAACAATAAAGAAAGAAAGCGCTAAAAAAAATTGGTGGCAGGCAGGAGTATGAGGTCAGAAAGGCACGTAGGTCTCCCTTCCTACCACATAATGGAAATGGAATCTAACCCAGTGAGAGTGAGAAGAACTCGCGGCAATCATTCTTCATTTTAAATGGGGAATTACCTCAATAAAGGAAGCGTTTCGCAGAGCAGAAATATTTTTTTTTGTCGGAAATTTCAATTTTCAAAAATATAATTTTTATATTTAATTTACGATGCCAGACGCGCCCTAAACTCAATTTTAAAACATTTTATACAATTGGCGTATTGTGATCATTGAATTCGTGCTTCCTCTTCACTTCTATAACCATTGAGATTGCAGAGAGGACAAGGCCAACCCCAACTCTCTCAAGGTCTGATATTCCATTCGGGTGATCAGTGATCCTCCGGACAAGTGGTACAAAAGCAAATTCGTAAACTGGTATTAAAAGGGTCATGAATACTAGCGGAATCACGGGAATTGAAGATGGGGGGATATTAAAAGTGCCAGTTCCTTGTTGGATGGAGAAGGTTTGCAATTGGGCCAAACATGTATTCATGATGATGGTACTCAGAAGTATAGGCATCATCCTTGTGAGAATCTTCACTTCTTCCACCTGTGTCACTGTGCAGACTTTCCATTTCCTTGCTTCTGTGCCTTCAGGTAGAACTGCAGCTCTGTCTAGAACCCTGTTAGTGCAGAAAAGTACAAGCATGAAATATGGGTTTCTCTTGAGCATGTATGCTAAAAAGTGCCTCTTGATAGTCAATATTTACGTAGCACCGATACCGACACAGGACACGTGACACGATAGGACATAACACTTCGACACGTTAATTATTAAAAATGTTAGATTTTGACACGTTAATAAACGTTTTGATATTAAATAATATTTTTAATTTATGTAGTGTATAATATATTTAATATTCAATAATTTAACAAAAAAATGAATCTAAACTTATAATATTCATAAATTTTGCAAAGAAACATAAGATATCTCTAATATTTATATTAAACTCAATAAAATAGTAATCGTAATCCAACACAACGCAACCTTCAATCCTTTTCTTGAATTTCTATCACGTGTTGAAGTGTCGGAGAGTGTCCGAGTGTCCGAGAGTGTGAAAAGTGTCGAACACGATACGTCAGGATTTTTGAAGTGTCGGTGTTTCATAAGTCAGTATTAACGTATTTCAAGTAGTTCACTGTATTAAGAATTTAAATTTAAGTTTGATAAATTATCACTTTAATAAAAAGTTATTCACTATAGATACAACTTGCATAAAAAGTTATTAACAGCTTTTACTTCAAGTTGAAAAATTTAAGAACAAAATATGACATTTTTTTTTTCTCACACAGTGATTGTGTAAAATATGTAAACTATTCAAGCTGTGCTAAGTGATTTGAAAAGCCAAATAACAGAAAATATATATACTGTTGACACCTGAAAACAAGACAATGAAAAATCTATGCAAAACCATGTCTTGGGATAGCTTCAAAAGAACTAAAAAAAAATCCAACCTGAATTGGTTAGTGTGACGGATGAGTTTTTTCTTCAAAGTAGACTCGTGACTTTGCATTTCATACAACTCCTCAGAATTCTTGGGTACTTTCAAGCTCCAATTCTTTACTGCAACCACCAGCACCTGCAAGAACGATCTCAAATGAATATAGAATGGAATTTGAATATCAATGAAAGATGGAGGGGAAAGGGGAAAGAGACCTGCAAAACGCTCAATAATGGACTCTCTCCTGGCACTCGGGTACGATATAATTTCTTTCCGGAGGCAATGACAATGAGACCAGCAGCAGAACATGACAGAGATATGATAAAACCTTTGTACCATTTGATTTGTGTGCTCACATAAAATACAAAGGTGACTCCTATGCTAGCTCCAATTGTAATACTAAACAAAAACCAATTGAGGTAGCTGGCTAATTTGTACGCGTACTTTTGGATTCTTGTTGTCAAATTGATCAGCTCCTAGAGTACGTACACAACCTCTGATTCCACAAGCACCAAGAGCTATCAAGTATATTGAAGCGCAAAATAGCAAAGCTTTTTTCCCATGCACACATCTTGGTTCCCCACATAGTTCAGGCTGGAGTTTCTCGTCGTGGGATTGAATCACAAGCAAGATGTATCCCTACAATTCAAAAATACCAACATCAAGACAATTTTTGTGTGTGTCAGTGTGTGTGTGGTGTCAAGTATCAGCAGTTAATATTTGATTGTATGCATGTTTTTCAGTTTTATAGGATGAGAAAACATGTCCTTTCAATTAACATTAAACAGCTCAGTTGCTTATACTTTACCATCAACTGAATTATGCCGAAGAGGATGCAAGTGTTGAGGCGATTCATGTAAGTATCAGAGATGAACCCTCCAACCATCGTCAGCAAGAAAGAAGTACCCAACAAGTTTGTTGTGGTGGTTGCAGAACCAGAGGAGTCAAAATGCATGATGAACAAGAAATATAAAACCAAGCTTACCATGTTAGCGACAAAGCCTATGTTATCACTGAGTTCCTTGGATGTCATGTTATAGCATGCATTGGAAACAGGTAACAAGATTAGTAAGACAATGGCGGTAGCAAAAAAGCAAAAAGAAAAAAATTCCACACTAAAACACAGACTATAATTATGAGAAAGATGATGGACTACAATGACATATTGAAACATGTAATGTGCGGCTAAAAAATAACTAGAGATTACAAAACTTTCTGTTGATTTCATTGGTAAATCCAAGCACTCATGAGAGAAATTCCCAAAGTAGTCAGTATCAAATCCGTATCCACTATACAAAGTCTGTGAGTTTTGTTTGAGAATATCGTCCGTCCATGAAAAGCGCAGGCACAGGCACAGCAACGAACCATACTTGTTTCAATGTTGTTTATAAAAAATAAACCCAAATAGGCGCAAGAAAAACATTAATATATGAGCTCTCATTTATTGAGGCACAGTTGCCCCAACCATATGCTTCTGCTCTCATTTATCTTGAAGTCACTTCGTAATTTCCTAAAAGCTTGTTTTTTTGTGTATGAAGTTTATAAGCGATTTAACACACGCTTTTGGCACCAAAAACAAATAAATAAAAAAGAATTCTCCCTTGTAATGCATAGTCACCTGACAAGAACTTGAAATGGGTTTAATATAACCACTACGAGCTAAGCCGGGTCATTACATGAGATAGCTCTAGTGAGCTACGCTTTAAGCCTAATATGGAATCAATGATTGAACGTTTGACATAACAGGGCCAATAATCGCGCCCATGCTTGGAACAAAGCCAAATTTGCTTAATTTCTTGCCAATCTTACCAACACAAGATTGCTTAATTTCTTATGTCTTCATCTTCCATGGCCGTGGTTATTACTCGGTGAAATTCAAGACGTGCTAAATGAGTCTCCACCTAAACTTGAATTCCACAAGATGCAATGTATTATCTTGCTTACTGATAGAAGTTTCAACATTAGTTGTTATCAATAGTAACTAAATTTTCAGTAAGGATGTCTAGCTGTGTGATTATTCTCAAACATGGTACTGGATTCGAATGGGCCTTGTCTTCACAAGCAATGGTTGATAGTTACTTCCTGATCCAAATTGAGCTCTCCATTCATGCCTCCAATTGCCGAACAGTACAAATGCTAGATGCAGTGTATGCGTAGTTCCAGTCTAAAGGGTAATTGGCACTAGACTGATAAATACCAATTGACAGTTGCCGCACGTGTTAGTGCAAGACAAAGAATTTGAAAGATTGACTCATAAAGGATTCATATCTCAACCAGATTACACCCCCTGAATTATAGTAAAAATACGTCCATACATCGAGTCTGATTAAGTCTTCAAGTTCATGTATTGACTATCATTTCAATTAAATTTGGCAATTATTTTACTTTTCAGCATAACTCAGTACGAGAACCAATCAAAATTACAACTTGGTTCTATAAAGCTCCCAGTCTCCCATTATGTACAGGGTTGCAAAAGGCTGATTACAAACCACTATCAATATTTAAAAATAAATGTGTTCAGAAGATATTTGAAGTAAAATAGTAAATAAAAAATCACTTGGAAATACAAATATTTATATTACATCACAAAATTAAATAACAACAATATTCGCTGCAGCGTGGGGAAATTACAAATTGAAGTCCCTATGCCCCAATATGCTTTCACAGTTTCACTATGTCAAACAGAAAAGCTCAAATAAATCAGGAGTCATTCTAAAGTAAATAGATAGTATAGAGCTATGGAAACTTAAAAGCATATATTTAAAAAAAAATGTAAAATGACAATAGTATGCAATATATTCTTCAGCAACTTGATGATTTCAGTTGTGGATCATCACCCCCTTGACCAAAATAGTAAATTGAGGCCAAACAAATCAAGACATCTGTAAGAATGAGATAAAACACATCGAAAACAAACTTCGGAGCAAATAAACCCCAAACCTGCAAAAATTATTAAGCGTTGAGTATACTGTATTATCATTAAATATGCAGAAATGGGTAGATGAAAAACATTTAAGTAAAAGACAACATATTTACCATCAAGTGCCGTCTTTGAATTGTGACACATAATATTGTAAAAGTTGTCATAATTGCTGTTATGAGCCCATAGGTTGTATATATCTATATAAAATATTGAATGGTCATTGCGTTGAGCATGCGATGCATTTAATGATGAACTAGTGGATCTACTAACAGGAGAAGGAAACTCACTTGAGATAATTGTGTGAAAAGAAAATGTTTTCCTAGGTTAGGCTGATACTTCGTTGCTACAAGAAACGGAAGTCCAAATACTGGAAGGATGATAGAAAAACCAAAGGTATCAATTGCAAGGAGGATGGCTTGGCGAACAAGCATAAAATCTTCAAACCTGAAAATGAATTAGTGCTTAAAATATTGAATTACCAAGTGAGCAGTAATACTAATAACAGAAAGAGATTTAAAAACCCCTTTAAAAGCCAACAACTGATCATTCCAAAGAGAGACAAATTTAATATAGGGCTGATTGTAATGGTGACATTCTTCAATTGTTGTAAGAGTTCCAACATCTGAATACACTTGTATCTCAAATGTTTAATATGCACTCTTCAAATATAATAAAGAATGCATAGAACATTATTTACCCTATAAATGCAGCACCATAGCGGAGACCATCAAAAGCACACCTGAAAACAAAATTGCAGAGTTTATTATAAGACCAATACAATGCAGGAACAAGAAAGTTGCAAAGTCATACAGACCTACAAAAAGAAATGACAATTATAACTCGAAACTTAAACCGTGAAAGTTGCATCATACCAGTGGCCGCTGCAGAAAAAGAGACATGTGGCAAAGAGGCTCCATTGCATCACAGAAAAACTTCTGTGAGGTCCATCCTTACCACCTTCTATATTACTCAACCTCATAATACAATAACCTGGAAATTAAATTCAAGGACAAAAACAAACTTTTTCACAAAAGAGCGTGTAGCTTGGTGCTCGTGAAATTGACTTCTAAATGACAACACCATTGCTAATCTACAAATATTAGCAGCATAAATAAACCATGGCAGAAGTGTGTTTGAAGAATAATGCAGCAAGATTTAGCAAGTTTATACAACATATGAAAACAAAAAGAAAGAGCACCTCCAACTATGGATGCAAAAGCAATCATGGGACCCTGTTTTCCTGAAAGAAGAATGACAGTTGAACTCCAAGCAGATAACATGGCCATTGTTTTTGCAACTACACTTGTCTTGCAATCTAAACAGTTATCCTTAAATAGTTGACCAAATGCCAGTAATAACAACTGTCCTAAAGCAATAGCATAGACGATTCTAGGAATATAATTTCTTCCAATGCTTTCAGGGACCAGTGCTACACCAAATCTATTACTGTCTGTCACCCAATGCGCAATTATTAGCATATAACTCAAGATAGTACCCAGTATGACATAATTCCATGGCCAATAAAAGAAGCTGCCACTGGTGGCCTTGTAAAGCCATAATGCCAACAGAATCAGAACTAGCATAGGTACAACTTCAGCTGCATAGTCCCATACAGGTAAATCAGAGCCTATGTTGAGGATCCATGAAGTGTTGTCTTTCATGAAAGCAGATGTGGCAGCCTGCTTGGACAGCCCAACTTCAATGGAAAATCGGCAAAATGTGCTCAAAAGAAGGAACCCAAAGCTCTGCAGAAAAGATATACATGTTCAAGAGCAATCTAATTAAATTTTTATAGACAAGATGCCTTAACATGTAAAGAAATTCAGATATAATACTTAGCTTTTACACAAAGGAGAACGAAAACTAAACAAAATACATACTTCAATTAGCAGCTTCTCCTTGATGAGTGATTGACGTAATGCCACAATCCCAGATGTGCTCAAAAGAAAATTTGCTACTTTGCCTTCCTCAACTGATAGCAAAGTTCAAGTGAAAAACAAAATGACTGAATATAAACATTCTGAACAATCAAAGTGGAATGTATACGAAAAACATCAAACTTACGGATATAACTGTTAGAAAGGAAACTGCATGCACGTATTCCCACTAAAAAGAATGTAAAAGTTGAGGGAATGATAATCCAAGAATCACCAAATGATGACAAAGTTACACCATGCTGCGTGTTCCCCCTTAAAATGGCAAAAACTTGAAATATAAGTGATATTAACATGATTCCAATGCCAGACCCCATCATGTTTAAATCAAACTCAGTCCATTTAGACCGAGCTAACTCAGCAACTGTTGCTAGAAAATTGAAGTATGCATCAATTTGCCTCTTAAGTACAGGCACTAATGTATCACTGCCATTGTGTCTATCAAGCAGAAGCTTTTTGGTGGAGTGCAACCAATGATTCTCTGCTTGAGCATAAACACTTGCTATTCGGGATAAGTCATCATGGGAAAATCCAACAGCTGATGAAGCTGAGTAAGCATCTACATATCTTTTCACCTATACAAGGAGAAATGCATCATTGAAATGATTTAATGATCTCTCTCTCTACACACACACACATGCTCGCCAGACTGCTCATATCATTTCTGGAATTGCCATAATAAAGCAACGGTAGTAAAACCTAAGATTGTATCCTTGAAACATAATGAAGCCATTTTGGAAGCATAACTAACAAGAATGTAACAATGTGAAACTAAATTTACTTACAATCATTTCAAAGTAACTTCTTTTCACATACAATCAAGTGCATTATTTTATCTAGGAATCCTAGTTGGGTTCGGTCAGAAAAATCATTACATATTAATATATTATACAGTAGTCTACTGTCTGTCTATGACTCTAGGTGTTTGAGCAGCATAGTGGTATCAGCTGAACTACCAAATCCCAGCAGCAAATCCTTTTATAAAATAAGCACGGTTTCTCAAAACAGTAATTTGTTAAATAAAACAAGAAGAATAAGAGACATTGCTGAGTTTTAAAGGCAACAAATATCTCTGAGGAGAGATGAAAGCAAATGCCGCAGCTAGGATAGGGAGGCACTCAGGTACCCAAACTTTTCAAGTGCACCATCAAGGTCCATTTCACAACTTTATAGCCAAAAAATATATAAGTAGAAAAATGTAGAAATGGTATTTTGTAATTGTAACCTAAGATTAGATGTGAGTACCTGCCAAGAATTTATGCACAGCACATTAGCATAATCCTGCATCCAGATATCTAACTCTGACAGCTTCTGAGAGGCATCCAAATTCCAACCACCTGCTCCTAAAGCATATAGTTCAGGATTGATGTGACCAATGCTGAGGAATGAAAAAATGTATATATTGTGAGTTCTTAACATAGCTCCTGTGAAGAAATTTCTAAAACAATGTGATCCACCATGATGTCATGCCATAAGAAAATGCAAGACAAGACATCAAAATAGAAGTTTCCAGAAGAGGAAATAATTCAAGAATAGGCCTCGGGTCATTTGGAGACAACGGAAAAAAAAAAAACACTCCCCAATAAATCCCAACTAGTGAGGGTAGGGGTGAAAGCAATCCTTCTACTCAGTCCCACCCTCGCATATTTGCAAAAAAGTCGGTTCCCGGATTCGAACCCGTGACCTTTCAATCACAAAGGAGCAACTTTACCGCTGCTCTAGGTTCGCCCAATTTATTTGGAGGCAATAAACTGAAAAGAAAATATTGAATATGTCACCATTTGACCTGGCTTAGCACAAGAAATCTGGAATTGACTGCAGGAATCGCACAGATGTGTCATTTCATTTATCATATGTCTAGTATTTCTATCTAGAGTAATTAGCTAAACTTTTTGAAATGTGGAATGATAAGATAGACATCTTAGGCACAGTGGCATCAAAATTTTAATATATACTAATTTATTCTCTCAACTTTTTCTTTTTTTCAAATTAGATTCCCCTTCAACTCAGTGATTTTCTATCTACATCAAATAACACTTAAAAATTATACTTTCAAGCAATAACTATCCTATGCTCTTTCAAATCACCTCAAAATATCAACTCAATATAGCCTTCAATTTTACTCACAGCACATCCCAGAAAACAGAAAGTTTGTGAGAAATATAGGAAGTCAGTTGAGTCAATACATTACAACCAATTATATAGCTACACAAATAGAAGAGAAAAGTAGACAATAGTAACATAGACAGGATGCTTACACTGCACCTTCCATAAGGAAAAGGTATGCCAAGCAATGCTGACATTGTTACTGCAAAGTCAAGCTGTAAAGGATGATAAGAATAAATATGGGCATGAATATATTGAATTGTATGTAGGGTATTCAAAATGCCATTACAACAGAATAGCTTGCCTAACCTGTTGCATGGAGCTGATACAAACATTCTTCCCATCCTGATATGTAAGACAAGACAGGTCACTTACCCAGAAAAAATTTAAAATCTAGGCACTGAATTATAAAGATCTAACCCAGTTTTATGATCTTGGGAATCAGAGTAGTGTAACAGGGATCTCACTGCCCGCAAGTAGAATGATGATGTGACCAAGCATATCCATTAAGTTAGATATATTAGGTAATATGTATGAATTTAATGTTATACTTTTCCAGTGGCCACTCAATTACTTATTTATCCATAACTATACATTATTCTGTCATTTTCAATTCACTAAATTATCTATGCTTTCCATTTCTTGACCTTTCTCGCATAACATTAGTGGTAGTGTGCATGTACAAGAGGAAGCAAAAGATTGTTGGAAACAGATCAGGAAGAATCTTAGAGCCACCAGCATGTTTATGTATGTATAAACTTTAAAGGGAGAGTAAATACCAGATCTAGTTGACAGGAATAAGTCTCAAATTCTGGTGGCACGGAAGAAAGAGGCTTCTTAAAACTCATGGCAAAAATGGCAGTTTCCACCTGCAAGATGTTACCACAAATATCCTAAGTGAGATTGGGAAAAACATATTAATCAAGAAAAGCATATGAACAGACACCACATGTGTTGTACACACCTCTTCAGCACTTCCACCACCATGATCACCATTTAGTGTTTGTCCATGGTCACCCATTACCACAAGCATAGTATTTTCATGTAAGCTCCCAGGTCCAGACTGATTTTCCAGCACTTCAATAACTCTCTAAAGCAAATTTGCATTAGTTTGCTTATTAAGCAGGCATGGGAATCAGCAAAAACAAAACCAACTAAATTGGATAAAAATAAGTTAACAATATTACCACCAAACAACCAACAAGAAAGGAGAGGTGTCATAAACCCAGGGATGTTTGAAGACAGCATATAACTTAAATAAAATGATTGAATAATTGAAGAAGCAAATATAAGCCATAAAAGCCTCACTAATTAACATGAAAAGTGCCAATCAACAAATTGACAAGGAAGGGACAACCATGTAGGGTAGACCAGAAGTATATGGCAAAATCAAGAATTACATAAACTTACCTCAATAATATTATTGTATTGCTCCAATTTTTCTATCATTGGAGTGGAGTCGACACCAAATATATGTCCAGCATGATCCTTAACCAAGCAGAAAACCATAAAGAACATGGTGTAAATTAATTGTCCTGATGATGCAGAATGAGAGTAGGAACCACAGGGTATAGAATACGTATATTAAGATTATTAGGTGCATAGTATGGAATAATATCAAACATACCACTCCTAGAAAATGAGCAATAAGAACATCCCAATCTTCTTCATATAGGGATGGAAACAGGTGGTCAATGCATCCATTGTCAACCTAGAAAATAATCGGCGCCGTGTCATAGTCGTTGGAATGATGAACCACTACCGCTCAATTAATTAACATGTATTGCAAGGATTAAAAGTTTACTCCAAAATCAAGCTTAACACAATATAAGGCCCACCGTATGAAGATCTTTGACGTTAAAAGAAGGGTATGGATACGATCTTTCAAAATGATGAGGAAATAACTGCGTCCACGTATCATCCCCCATCATAACAACTTTCTTCCCATTTTGAACCAACTGAAAGTGAAACGCGTATATTTAGATCTATCTGCCTTGTCCGCTTCAGAAACTTAAAAATAAGAACCAGCTTCACTGTTGAAGTAAACCAATATTTCAAATGTTAAATGTACCAAGCAAGTAGAAAGAATCAAAACCTGATTTATGAAGTTATCTTCAACAATTGCCGGCGCACCAAAGCTATTACCAACATCAACAAAAGTTGGAAGTCCACCAGTTGTCAAGCCCTATCAAAAGAACGCCATCAGTTCAAAGCACGAAACATCTAAATCTCCAATTCACACACAATCAAAATAAGAAAGAAATCGTTGTAACCTTCAAGCGCTGCAAACTGGTGGTAGGTGGATCAGCAATGGCTTTGAAAATCCTGGAGGAGGAGGATCGCTTAGATGCGACATTCTTCAACGCTTGTAATTTATCCATCCAAGGTTTTGATTCTGTGTCAAGAACATAAAACGAACTTCGTAACAAGAAGTTGAAAATCGTTTGTGAAGTGAAGAACAGGTGAGATAGATGGATAGATAGATAGCTAACCTGCAAAGAAGGTGCTGGGAGCAACGAAATCGAACCTGAGAGCATCGAGAACGATAACGACGAGACGGTTAATTGCAGGTTTGGTCCAACAAGATCCATTATGAGAAGAAGAAGAAGGAAAGCATGGTGAGTGTGACACGTCAGAGCAATGGCTATAATAAGGAAGCTCGGTTCTGGTGAGGAGAAAGCCTCTGGTGAAAAGAAGAAGAGCGAGAAGGTGCAGCAACATCGCCACCCACATCGGCCATATGTATCCCCATTTTCCACTCTTCCTCCGCCGCGCTTCCATCTCTGTCACCTCAAACATAACAAACGACGTCGTTTCCACAATTGGTTCAATTCCGATTCCTTCCTTCTGTCTCCTCTCCTCAAAGCTAAAACCCCATTCTGGGCTTTGCCCCCTTTTTGTAAAAAATTAATTTTTGATGTAGTATTAATGAAAGTTTACTTTTGTCCAGTGATTTACTGCATCAGTGCATTGAAATTAAATTCAAAAATTAATAACACCATGTTTAAATTCTCTTTATGAAATTATTCAAATCTAGTTTAGATTAGTGAAATTTGAAATGGTGTTTGTAAAAGTTATTAATGTTGTAATTATAATTATTTTTTGTATTTTGTTAAGTAAAAGGTTAAAAGATAATTATAAAATTAAAATAGTTATTCCGTGTATACTATTTGAAAATAAAATAAATTTCAAATATATTACAACTTGAATTTGTTATTATCTGTACAAGTGCAGGTAAATTTATAATTTTTTTTCATTCATTTTAGGGTTTTATAAAAGTTATGTTATAGAAAAAGTGAAGTGGTCATGTTATAGAGATTCGTTTTTTGTGTCTAAAGATTTTTTTTTTTGCTTCAAAAAATATGGAGCCCACAAAATATTGTGTGTGGAGAAAACTCTCTCTTTTTCGTATTGCATGATGGATCCAAACCCCTTCATTTTATTTGGAAAAAAGTTTATAAACTCACCTGTAGTTTATTTACTTTTTAAACAAGTGAGAATTAAACATATAACTTAATACAAAAAACCTAAACCTCTCACAGCTAGACCAGCCCGAGTGGTTTTGTGATTTACTTTTTTATCACTTACACTCCTATATTTTTTATTTTATCAATTATTCCATCCAAGTCCACCTTTAATATTGTTACTAATTAAACTAACTTATCCATTTTATCCTTAATTTATCTATGGAATTTGTTTATCAAAAATAAAATTTGACCTAAAAATAAATAAAAAATGCAAAGTCTACTTGATTACACTAGAAAAAACAACAAACAAAAAATTGAATAACAATAGTTGTGGGAAGGGGACTTGGAAAAAATTCACCGCGGCAATTATAGCTAAATGTGACAAAATGAAGGAAATCACATAAATGTAAAAAAAAAAAAATAACAGTTAGAGAGCATTGGCTCCAACATCAAAATTTTGGTTCAGGAATGATAAATAAATAAAAAATCCTTAAAAGTGATTACATTCAAAATTTTGAATGTTAACTTTTTTTGTGATTTTTTTTAAGGGATGTTTTGTTCATTATGTGAAATATTTGAAAGGGATAATATACATGATTGTTCTTCATGTCTTTATAATGAACCTAAACTTTGCTAATTCAAAAATTTTATATCAAATTAATAACAAGTAAAATTAAGGTTAAATGGACAAGTTAGTTCAATTACTAACGATGTTAAAAGTGGACTTAGATGTAATAAATCACAGGGAGTAATTGATAAAGAAAAAGAAGCACAAGGGTGTAGGTAATAAAAGAGTAAAATTTATAAACTTTTCCCTTTTATTTACTATAAAACAACTTTAAAATTTCAATAAAATTCATATTTGAAAAAACATTGTCCTTATTTAATTTAGATATAATAATTTCATAATTTGAATAAGTTCTAACATAATTAGTTTACTACTTTTCTTCCTTGGTAATATTTTTTTATATGTTTTAGGACATTCTAATGAAGAATTAAAATCGTTCACAAGCATATGCTTCTCAGTTCTCACTCCTTTTTACTCTTTTTTTAATGTCTCTTTTACCCTTTAAGGTACACGTGATGTTAGTTAGTATTAGAAGCATTGCAAATAAAACAATACAATATGAATAATTCAGTTTATTGAAATATCGTGTTGTGCATTATTTCGTGTATACTGTATAATATAATATAATTGGAAAAAATGAAAGACTAAAGATCATTATTTTTTATTATTATTTTTGAGTTGTAGATAACATTTTTTTACCTAATTTAATGGGTAATAAAAAATCAAAGTTTGTTTACCAAAAAAAAAAAATCAAAGTTTTGTAATGTCTCTAAATACAATAAATTTTATATTGTGTTCTCTTTTTTTTAATAAATCAAATAAACGTTTAACTTTCCTGTGTGTTATCTTTCTCATTTGCATATTATTACTAATAAAAAAAATATGAAAAAATAACTCATAAAATATCATGACACCCAAAACTATCATAGACATTAATATGTCCCATAAAAATATCATGACACAATAAATTTATCATGACACCTTAAAAAATCATAGACCATCAAAATATCTATATAAACTAATCCATCATAAATGCAAGAAATAAAATACCAAATGGTGAAATATCATATCATGATGCTCGATCAAAACAGAAAATATCTCTATTTATCTTGAAAACTAAAACAACCACTATTTTCTTTAAAGATTAATTTATTTTTTTATTTTATTTTATTTTCTACTTATATCTTTTATTTTATTTTACTTATTTCTTATTCTCTTGGCTTGCTTTACTCAAACTCTATGACCTAATGATTTTAATCTGTTTCTTAGTATATTTATTTTGATTCTTATCTTACCATAAACGAAATTTTTGTAAGATTGGATATGACGACCTCTCCTCTACTTCAAACATTGACAAATATTTTTAGCTAGATGTCCTGATACTTTTTATTAATAATTTAATTTTTAATTCTTTTTATATTGATTTTTTGTTATTAATTTTTTGGTATAAGAATTATATTTTTTGTCATGGTAACTTGGACCAATTAATTCCTAGAGATTGTTTTTTTTCATAATTTTGCATTAATTTTATTTATTCTTTTTTTTTTCTCCTTCGAGAATTTATTTAGTAAAATTTGTTCTTTCTTTCCCAAGAATTTTTCGTACTTATTGTCGCAGTGATCTTTTTTTTTTTCAGAAAAAGTTAGTTTTTATTTTCATAGAATCTTATTTATTCTTCAGTTTTCCAAAAAAAAAAATTGTTTTTGTTTATTCGATGATTTTTGAGTTGATTTCCAATAATTTGGGTTATATTATTATGTAAAAGTTGGGGAGACCACTTTATCAGTAAACGAGATTATCATCTGATCATAGAGTCGTCAAAATGGATCAGCCCAATCCGTTAGGCCCTAACCCGCGCGGATCAGGGCCAAAAAACTCGCATATTAAACAGCCCACATGGACCAAGAAATTATATAACCTTGCGGGTTAGGGCCAGCCTACGGGCTAAAAATCAATTTAAAAAAAATTAATTATAAAATTTAAAATTCAGTTAATCCAGTATAAAAATATGCATTAGCAGCCTCAGAATGTTTATCATTTGTCCTCGCATTAAAAATGTCCCAGAAAACATACCACAACTCATAAAGAAAACCTCCAGGAACATCAATTGCTGCATTTTCAAAGAGTTAGCTATAATCAATTGTGATATATATATTATATACCCTATAATTAATCCACCCAGCATACACAAACATTGGCATTAGAGAATTCCAAACAGGTCATAATTAAAGAATAATCACTTAATAAAATAACAATAAAAAAAGCATTGGGCTAGCCCGTAGGGTTATTGGATTAATCTAAAAGAGATGAGGGTTAGTGGGGGTCAGGGCTAAAAATAACACAATCAAATGTGGACTGAAAAAAATGGGGCTGAAAATTGAGGTTGAAGAGCCGGCTCGCAGGCTCTGGTTCGTTTTGACAGCTCTATGACTTATCATGTTTAGCCACAATAGGTGACACTCAAACTTAAGATGTGTTATTGACTAGTCTCATCTTTTACATGAGAGATTCTTATGTGCAGCCAAAGTATCATACTCCCTCCCAGAAAGACAAATGAAGGTAAGAAAACATTACCCCCAAAGTTCACCGATCATCACTTCTTTGTCTTTCTCTTATAGAAAATTTGCCAGTAACCAAAAAAAACTAAGAAGATGACTTATTTTATCCATTTTTCTCCCATTTTTTTTAGCAATTGATTATTTGTATTATTTTTTCTGTATACTTAGTCTTACAAAGTCCCTTGCCATTTCATTTAAATTCAATTTACGAACAGCTTCAATGGCTATTTTGTATGTTTGCAGTGTTGCACTAAAACTGTCACAACAAAATCTATATTGCCACGTATCGAACCAACAATCTCCAAATGCAACTACTCAGTAAAAGATTATAGAATTTTTCTTCGAATCATTTCTCATTGAAATTTTTCTGTCATATAAAAAAAATATTCAAATAAAGATTAACTCTTCAAAAAAATGAAACTAGTATCTATTGATCTTTTAAGAAAATGAAACTGGTAACTATTAACTTACAAGGAAATGAAACTGGTAACTAGATTATTTTTTTCTTACCCTTTCAACAACATTAAAAACAAGTAAGTGCCCATGTCAGTTGTAGAGAAAAATGTCGTGTTTTATCCCTTTTTGGGAGGGCGTATGGTACTACAGCCGCACACAAAAAACTCTCGGTCACCGGACCTTTATACCTTGTTATTTTGAAATATGTGTTTGAATTTAAAACAATTTTTTTATATAATTTAATTTTTAAAATAAAGAAAATATAAAATATCGAAATTGTGGATAAAAAGTAACTAGAAAATAATTTATCGGAAAAAAAAAAAAAAAACAGTCAAAAATATCAATCGATATTCTTACCACACAACGATAATAATCACTTTTTGTACAACCGTAGCACGTACAACTGCGGTTTAGAAAATTACATCTGGATTTTTTTATTTTTTTATTTCTGCTCCGTACGTATAGCACAAGAGACAAGACATTTTAATTGGATTGCCGCACCCAATCAATGGTGCGGCGGTAGTATCCAAAATATTTCGTCTCGTGGGAGTCAACCAAGGTGGTTATCCAAACATGGTTCCCAGAGAGAGTATACTTCTCTGGCGGAAAGCCATCCTCGAGGAAAGACCTAATCTTGAGGCAAAAGGGATCAAAATTGATAATGGTGAGTAGCCGGAGCTGCCAAAGTAGCCAAATGAAAAATTCTTTAAATCTTTCTCCATTGCACGCTGTAGTTTTGCGCCGGAAT